GAAGGAGAGTGTGCAGAAACATTTGATCAATGGAGGAAAAATAATTTATATAGATGGCAAAACCTAATTATTACTAAGTCAAAGATGAAATCCTCTGAGACTTTGTCTTCCGGAAGGCCAGAACTATCTTACTGGTTTCAATATTTACAAATAGTGAAGTCCAAAAGAATTACAAAAATAAGATGAAGTAGTAGAAGATCTGGCTGAATTAAAAAATCACACAAAATTTTATCTGGAAATCCAGATACAGTGCCACAATGTAAATGCTGCTATTATTGCTATTATTCAATAGGAGAGGGATACAATTATGGTAAATTCTATTGTATTCTTTTAGTTCAACAGTGGAACTTTAGGCAGACTTGGACCAAAAGAAAGTCTAAAAGAAAGCTGCTCCTATGAAGAGGACATAGGGCAGTGTTGGTAAACGTTTTCGGCACCAAGTGTTGAAACGGGAGTGTGTATGCACATGCTCTGGCCACCACGTTGGCCACCCGGTCTTCAGTTTCTGGTGTGCATGTGGGCGTGAAGACCAACTGTGCAGTGCACATACACTGGCTCCACCTTGCCTTTCAGGGGTCCTCATTTCTCTCTGCCACCCACCTGGTCCCCATCGAAGTGGTGGTTCCTCCTCCTTTTCCTTCTGGCTGCTCCAGCATCCTGGCCGGAAGCAGCAGCATGAGAACCGTCCCTCCCCCTTGCCCCTCACGGCAGCAGGAGCAGCGGGCAGGGCAGCCAGCTGCCCAGCCAGCAAACGCTTCTCCGCTACCCTCGTGTGCCTGAGCCGGCCAGGCACTGGACCATGGCTGCATATTGGTGCCGTGGGTTGGAGGGCTGGGGTCACGCAAGAAGCTCACTCAGGCAGGCAGGGAGGGAAGCCCTGGCCCACCCATCCTGGCTGGCAGCTCTGCTCCCCTTGTTCTTCTGGGTTCCAGCACGCTGGCCAGCTGGCTTCATGTGCACGGGAGCACCAGAAACCAAAAGAGCAGCTGCCCGGTGTGCACACACGTGCTGGAAAAATGATCTTCCGGTTTCTGGCATGCACATGCACACTGGACAGCTAGTCATTGTGTGTGCATGTGCACCAGAAACCGGAAGACCAGGTGGCCGGTGAACATGTGCGTGCCGGAAACTGGAAGATCATCTTTCCAGCCCGCGCATGTGCACCGGGCAACTATTCTTTCAGTTTCTTGGCACATGAAGACCAGCTGGCTGGTGCGCTGGAACCCGGAAGAGCAAGGGCAACGGCTCGCATTCCTGGAGAGATGGCTCTGTGTGCCACTTCTGGCAAGTGTGCCATAGATTCGCCATCACAGACATAGGACATAGTCCATATCATTGCTCTCCTTTCAAGAGAAACATTGGATGTAAATTTTATTCACTTAAACCAATGAAGTAACTCCACCAAAGGTAAATAAAGTTGCATTGGTTTATTGAGTCTCCTTTAAGTTATGGTTCTAATCCATAACTCAATAACTCAGTGTGGTATATATTATATTATACTGTGCATATTGAGATTCCTGTGCATATTATACAATGCACAGGTATCTCAAAAGAGAGAAATAAAGGATTGCAATGCTTGATTTTGAAATTTAATAAAGATATTTTTAAAAGGAGAGAGAAAAATAAAGGGCTTTATACAAATGTCATACAAGGTTTTAAAAATATCCCCCGGGACCTTGAAATGTTCTTGGAAGCCAACAATAAGCCTATTATCCTGCCTAATATTCTTATAAAAGAATGAGCTAGTTAAAGCTAGGGTATAATTCCACCAGTTAAAGAACAACACCAAGAGTAGCATACAGGATTTGAGATTAGTTATTACGAAACTGCAGTTGTTGAATCAGAAGGATACTTGCAAATGATTTTTACTGAGCTTGATTCAGCCAAGGTGCTAAATTAGTCCTCTCCATAGTTCCATAGGAAATTTGCTTCTCTTTGGATCAAGGTACTGTTTCTTTAAGAGACCATACTTCAGGCAGCGTATTGTAATGAAGAAATTGTGCTTTGAATGGGGAGTTTTACATAGTTAGCATGTATTTTTTGTCCACACATATTGTGCACTTGGAGCTATCTGAGGTACTGAAAACAACTGGAACATAGTTGTGCCTCTTGAGAAAAAGTATATTTGCTCTTAAGCCATATGGTCACCAAACAATGGACATAAATTGTTTATAACTGTAAAAAATTTACTGCTGCAGGCACTAATATTATGAAGTCATCTGATCTTTCCACAGATACTCACATCAGTAGCCAAGTACAATTCTTCTCCCTGTCCCATTACAGAAGTTAGCCCATTCCTGTTAGATGCAGACTTATAAAGAGGTATGGCATTAGAATCATCTTGTCAGATGTAATTTGAACAAATCCACAACAGGCTTTTACTAGAGCTTTGACCTATATGGAATGAAAGTTGTTGGATAAAGTGGTAATTAGATTTTAATGGGAGATGATCTTCCAGGGTTCTTTGTAGATTTTTGTTGCTCCTAAAAAGAAAACTAGTTAAACAATTCCCAGCTTTTAAGTCATGCCAGAGAATGTGCATTTTCTCCTTTCCTTGTGTCTGCTTACTGTAGTTTAAATTGGACAAAACACATCAACTATGACTTGTTTCGGTTGCACTTTAAGGCTGGGTTGAGGTGATTAAAATATATTGCCTATAAAATTCTACCTAATCCCCTTTCTTATGTTCACTGGTCTTATATCCACTCGCCTGTGTGCTTTGAGTTGATGTTAGTTATATGACAAAGTGATATTACTACATGTGATAAAGAGACATAAGAGATCATTATGTATCAAGATGAGATTACTTTTGCAAAATAATACATAGTTTAAATGTAAAGGATGTAGATATATTCTTAAATAAAAATATTCTTAGAAGACCCCAAATCACATATTTGGATCTATATACAAATTTCACACACTAGTGTGAATAATTATAATATAATTATTACTATTAAAATGTAAGCTACAAAAAATGAGAGCCAGTCTGATCTAGTGGTTGAAGCACAATACTACAAAGCGGAAGACCATGAGTTAAGTCAAGCTTTAGCTATGAAAGCCAGCTGGGTGACTTTGGGCCAGTCATTCTCTCTCAGCTCAGCTCAGCTCAGCTCAGCGGATTGCTGTTGTGGGGAAAGTACGAGGAGGAAAATGTGTGGGATATGTTCATCACCTTATTTGTAAAAATAATAAAAGCAGGATATGTAGATAAACAAACAAACAAACAAACAAATAAATAAAATTGTCTTTGTTTCTGTTCTTTGGACAGCTCTTTTTTATGAACCTAATGTGAACATGAGTGATAGCAGTTTAGAAATAACGTTGATATTAATGCTGATATTATAGAAGTTTCTACATATGCAGAAGTGCAATGAGGGATACACCTTGTCAAACAGCTATGTGTATAATATTATTGAAAGAGCATTCAAATTTACATGGCTCATTCATGTACAATTGTATTGGCTTGCCTTAGATCTCCTCCCTCCACCAGTTGATTAAGACTATTCCCAGGATTATTGTACATTTTTCTATTGAGAAGTAGCTTTAGGTTCAGTGGGAATAGGTAGTTTAATGAAAGAATGAATGCAATATTTATCTAAATATTCAATATCCAAGGTCATCTTATTCAAGAACTTCCCACTTTTGGTGGTATTAGGTGTGGCTGCATCCCAGCTCCACTATTGTTTAAATTATACATTACCACACAGATTGCTAACCTGGACAATTTAGACTACCATCCACCAAAATGTAAACATTGGAATACTCCTGCATATGGATAGTATAGTATTATCTCTCAAACTTTGGTAGGTTCGAGAAGACATATATTTTTGCCTTCTAATGTGATAAAACATTTTTTAAGATCAATTATGATAAAACTAAACTAACGGTATTTACAAAAAGGCGAAGGATGCAAACAGGTCACTAAATGGGCATAGTAATCTGTTACAGATTCCTTGGGGTAGTCTTCCAGGAATCAAGAAGATACACCCATAGAGATTATGTGACACAAAATGCATCTAAATAAGCATTGGCCATCCACACCTTTTATAATTCCAATTTTGTCCTATCTGCAATAAAAATCTTGTCAGCAAAAGTTATAGCGTACCTATTTTAGGTGATACAACCCAACATATTCAATAACTTCTTAAAGAATGAGTTCATTCCTACGAAATACACTTAAAGTGCCTTGATGCATACCCAAAACTGCTTCTCATACCTTAGTCACCAGGAATCAGTTTGAACCCCCACCCCACCCCATTTTACAAGTATAGGAATGAAAGATAATTCTGGAGAGAGAGAAGTTCCCTGAGGATGGGCTCCAGCATGAGTCCGAAAACTTGGAAGAATAAACCTCTGATCCCAGTGACCGACTCAGATAGGATCCAACAGCATTATCCTGAGACATGTATATTTGCCTTCATTCCTGAAAGATAATTAACATTTTTCAAAATGAAGAACTTTGGTGGGAACTACTAGACAAGTGTCTAAGGCATTAAGGGAGGGTCAAATCTAGCTATCTTAAGCTTTGTGTAGTGAGTCCATGCTAATTCCATGCTTTCAGCCAGGTTGTTTATGATTATTTGTGATTCACTTAACAAATGTGCCAAGAAAAGTCGTAAAATGGGGTAAAACTCACTTAACAAATTCTCACTTAGCAACATAAGCTGGCTCAATTGTGGTCATTAGTTGAGGACTACCTGTATATCAATTGTTTCTAAGAGATGCATTTCAATATTTAGGAAAAAACAAAACCGGAAATTTGAACAGAAATGTAATACGCTGAGCTTGTGGATTGTTTTAAAACAAAATTGAATTTTTTCTTGCATACATTTTGTCTATGTGCTTAAGCCATATAATTTAAATATAATTATATTATACTAAATATAATTTAATTTTGTGTACATTTACATTTAATTCCCTTCTCACCCTTATGGGTGATACGTTTTTTCTTCTCTTTTACCTGAGGACTTGGAATTTGAGGGTTCTGTGAAGTGTCTTACCTGTTCCTAATATTGCACTCAGATGTTCTTCCTGGGATCTGTTGGAGCCAAGTCTCCCAGTGTAGGAGATGAATCCTATCACCACCAGGACCACTTTGGCTTTTACTTTCCACATCCTTTATAGTATCTCCTTCAGACCCTGGTACTTCTCTAGCATCTCATACTGCTTCTTCCTGATATTGCTTGGCATCATTACATTTATCATCACTGCTGTCTTCTGGTTCTTGTCTACTACCATGATGTCTGATTGTTTGGGCAGTATTGAAGTCTCATGGGATCTTAGCCCTGTTATTCTCCACAACCTTTTGTGCAATCTCCCATCTGAATTTGGGAGGGTCTAGCCCATACTGTGCAGATGTTCCTATACACAATACAAGTTACTCAGTTGTGGTGTTCAGTGTATGCTGTTCCTGCCTACATCTCACACCTTGTGTGTTGGACTGTTTCTGAGGCCTCTCTGCATAAGCTGCACCCAGGTTTCTGTCTACTGTGGTAGACCTCTGCTTCAGGGGCGGGTTTCAAAACCCGTTGCTACCGGTTCACTCGTGGGCTGGTGGGTGGAACCTCCCACCGCCGCAGCTACCGGTTCAGCCGATCCAGGGCAAACTGATAGCGACCCACCACTGCTCTTCTTCTATGGATTTGGTGCTTAGTGCTGTTATAATAAGTGCATCAATGTTGTCCTTTAGTCGAGGCCTTTTTCAACTACTAATAGGATTTCCCAATGTCTAGTCATCTCAGCAATCCATTAATGGCACATTCCGTGCAGGGTATTGTCTTGTCATAGCACTCCTCTGCTTGATCTTGCTCCCATGTTGACTGCTCTCTCAGGCATTATCTCAGCTGTTCATCTTAGGGTACCATTTTACTGAAGTACTCCTGGAGTCCTGGATTCTCTGAGATTAGTTCAGGACAATGACTTTGACACACATCAGATGCCATGTGCCTTCTTTCCGGTTAGTGTACAGTCACTGGATGTTGAACTTGGGGTGGAAACCTCTGTACATTGTGAGGAGCTTCCAGGTCTTCACACCAGCAGCTTCCATGTCCTGCTTTAGTAGGGTATCTGATGAATGTCAGGACATACCTACTGATAGTGTGGAACTTGTTCTTTCAATTGAGATGGCTTTTCAGGATGTGTCTTATCCTTTTGTGGTATTGGAAGTTGCTGTCTTACTTGCCTCATTATTGTTCCCGTGTAACTATAGGATACCAAGGTACTTATAACTGGTCCAGTGGTGAAATGTAAAATGTGTTACTACCGGTTCTGTGGGCGTGACTTGATGGGGGGGTTAATGTGACTGGGTGGGCGTGGCCATCTCTTTTTTTTTTTTACTTTTAAAAGCATTTTTTCTACAACCTTTTAAAAGCCTCTGACGATCAGGCAACACAGCTGGAATCGTCAGAGGTTTTTAAAGGCATTTTTTTTCCTACAACCTTTTCAGCCGAAGAGGTTGTAGAAAAAAATGCTTTTAAAAGTAAAAAAAAAAAGCCTCTGATGATTGCGCGGCTCAGCTGGGCATGAGGAGAGGGCAGGGATTTTTGCTACTGGTTCTCCCGCTGCCATCACTATCGAATCGGGCGATCTGGTCCGAACCGGGAGCATTTCACCCCTGAACTGGTCTGAATGTCTGCTATGTGGCAGTTCTATCCCATCAGTTTTAAGTATGTTCTCTCTGTAACTACCATTTGGGGAGCCATGGTAACACAGTGTTTAGAATGCCAGCAGTTCAGCAGTTCGACTCTGACTGGTTTTAAATTTAACTCAGCCTTCCATCCTTCCAAGGCTAGTAAAATGAGGACCCAAATTGTTGGGGGCAATATGCTGATTCTGTAAACCACTTATAGAAAGTTGTAAAGCACAGTGAAGATATATATAAGTCTAAGTGCTATTGCTAATGCTATCATTCAGCCACCCTTCTCCAGTCCAAATGACATGTCAATGTGCTCACTATAGATCCATGTCAGGGGGCTCAGCAAGTCAGTGTCTTGTTTACTCCTAGCATACAGATTGATGTCATCCATATAGAGGAGGTGCTATCCGTAGTTCCACCGTTGAACCTGTATTCATATTCAGTCCTTGTGGTTATCTGGCTGAGGGGTTGAAGCCTATGAAGAACAGAAGTGGAAACAGTACATGACTAGTATATGTTATACTTGATAGCACTTGTTTGAGCTGTCTTGAGTTGCCTTCCAATGTTGTCTTCCATAGCCCCACTGAGTTCTTAAGGAAAATCCTTAGTATTTGTTTACTTTGTACAGGCCAGGCATTCATAGATCCAGGTCTGTGGCATTAAATCATAGGCTTTCAATTCAGGCTGTGTAATATTGATCTATCTAGAGCAGGGGTGTCAAACTCACGCCTTGCGGGCCAGATGCGTCATGCACTGGTCACGACCACCCCCGATTTAGCAAAAGGGAAAAAAGTCACAATACGTCATGTGATGACGCGAGTTTGACACCCCGATCTAGAGCTTGAGTCTTGGTTGACTGCTTTGTCTATGAGCAACTGGTATTTTGAGCCTGTTATTGTTCCCAATATCCTTCTGAACTGTGCTCATGTAGTCCTTTAGCGTGGCAGCTATGATGCCTGATAAGACTTTCCCTGTGTGGGGAGGCAGGTTATTGACAGTAGTTGGACAGTGCTGTTCCCTTGTGGGGGACTTTCATGATCAGCACTGCTTTTAAAAGTAAATAGTCTCTGATGATCGTGCAGCTCAACTGGGCATGGGGGGGGGGCAGGGATTGTTGCTACTGGTTCTCTGAACCATCTGCTGCCACCGCTACTGGATCGGGCAATCCGGTCTGAACTGGGAGCATTTCACCCCTGGACCACATCCTATAAGATCACCCACAGTGTGAGAGGTACATGCCACAACTGGGTTCTTCAGTGCCTTGAATAACTCCTGTGCAAGAAACTGTATATATTCCTGTGTTATTATACCATCAGGTACATCATTTGTCAGGCCAGATCTGGTTGTAGAAAAAGTGAACCAACTGTAGATCCTAGATAATAGTACTTTATTTAATAATTTCCCCTTGTTTCACATTAAAAGTTATAACTGGGTAACACTTTTTAAAGATCTTTGGGAACCACATTCCAAGTTTCTTGGAGATTCAAATGATTTTTAAGATCTTAGGTTGTGCATTCCTTTTCTATAGCTTTCATGCTGTCATGGAATAGTTGAACATTATATTGCTACATATTGTAGTCAGAACTCTTTGGTGCTTCTGTTTTAAAATTTTCTGAGACATTGCTTTGCAACACTCAGCTGGAAGCTGAATTAAAGGAAGAACAATACTTGAATACCTTTGCCTATGGGCCATTCTGCAGTTTCTCCTCTGTCTTGTCCAATTTATTACTCTACCTTTTATTCAGAAATTATTTCACTTAGCTATACACGGAATAGAGGTCTAAGTCCCAAGGCAGCAATCGAAGTATAGAAGGATGTTAAACAGGGTAATATCTATCCATAATTAATTCAGAATATAAGTGCCAGAATTTTAGCTGGTGAAATTTATTCAGATCACATCTCCTCAATTGTAAATGAATCTAACTTCGGCTGGCTATTTTGAAACTGAGTGTTGGTAAAACCATTAAGGCTTTAATTAAATTCAGATTCAATTGCTATAAAGGGTCCCTAATTCCATTTGGATTTGGTTGAACAGGAGTTCACAAATCAGAGTTAAAGCTGGTATCGTACAGAAGAAAGGGCCATTTCAGCTATGGTCTCATATGTCTTTATACCTAACAAGAGTCAATATTAAGAATTAATATTATAAGCTGCATAGAATTATTTTGGTGTATTTAAGTGACATATATACCATCCATCATACCATATTTGAGTCAGCTTTGACACCTAGTACTTGCCAGGACAAACTCAAAGAAACATTTTAATGTGATTTGCCACTGCCTTATTCCTAGGGCTAAGAGAAAGTAAATGGCTCATCTGCATTTCATATATATTGTTTTCCCCTATTCCAATTTTCTTTTGGCAGATTCACCCAAATGTATATCTTTCTTTTAGAAAGATTGGTTCTTTCTCTCTATGGCCTTAGAGATGAACTGTTGGAAATTGTGATGGAATGTGTACCTGGAGGAGGAATGAGAAATAGGTTTGGCAACACAGAGCTTTTGCAGGGAGAGATCCACATTAAGAGAGCACAATCCTGAGCTGGGAGGGAGGGGGAAAAGTTCAGTGTAGCCACACCTCAGAATATATCTAGTGGGCTGTTTATGGCAAAATACAGTTGAAGTATTGCTCTTTAAATGTCCACATGAATAGGGAAAGGATTTGAATGAGGCACTTTGGAAAGTGCATTGGTGACAACAAAAGCATCTCTCCTTGAAATGCCTTCCAGAAAGTTTTCCACATGTGATTTGAAGTCCCCTGTCATCAGTACAAATGTGTTCAGAAGCAATTTTGATTCTTCGGTGGCCACAACAGAAATTTTGTTTGTCCCTGCACACATAGCTGCAGATAGCTAGGAAAGCTTTTAAGCAGTCATGGCAGCCTTCAGAAAGATACAGTAATTTTAACATTTTGAAGAGAAGTGACATCAGGAAAAGCAATGGCAAACTGAAGATGACTGCAATGAAACGAGCCAGTGAATGGCTTGGTTGATGAGAATTCCTCTCTGGATAAGGAGAAGATTCAGGATGCCTCACAAATTCTCCAGATAGTAGTTTCACATGAGAAGACTGCAAGAAAGTGGCTTCCAGTGGATTTAGAGCTCTGAGAGATAAGGGATCACCATCTTTGGCCAAAATGCAGTTAGTGACCTGATGGACATAGGATTCACATACTTCTTTTCTTAATAGATATTATGAATCTTCAGAAAGACAAGTTTTATCATACTGAGTGATCCTTCTTCAATCCCTAGTGAAAATTTTATAAAAGACAAAGAGAAAATGAAAAGAAATCAAGTTCTGAGACATTATTTAAATTTGGAGGGCATTAAATATTAAAATTGTTAAAAGGTAATGGAAATAATATAAAGTTGGTTTATTTGCTCAAAGTTAAAATGTATAAGTTGTTGTTTTTTGGCAATTCTTATAGGGCTTTTGCTAACCAGAACTGAATGAGGTGGCTTTAAAGATTTATTTATAGATATGTGATAAGATTTGGGAAATAAGAGATCTTCTGGATTCTGATTGTTTACTGAAAATTTTTGTACTCATTGTACTGAAATAGGAAATCATTTCCTTATATATTTCTTTTGTTTTTCTTTATTACACTTATGTTTTTCATTCTTTTCTATTTGTTTTTACTTTGTTTAGTTTGTATTAGTTTTTTTTATCTTTATTACCTATAACTTTAATAATAACTATTAGTAAAAAAACATTTCGAAGAGAGGTGGTCAGCCTTTCCAAGTAACCAGATAGGAAACACGATTAGATGAAGTCATCTATACATTTCATTGTAGATACTTTGGTCTCACCAATGTAATACTGTTCTGCCTCAGCTCTGGATTCCCGAGGATATTGACACACACCAACGGTCCTTATCAAATTTATTAAGTAGCAAGAATAAACCAAAGTCCGGCAAAGGTTGGCAACCAGCCCAGAAAACAAGATACGATAAGACTTTTCCCAAAATGCTCTGATGATAATTACAAGTTGTTTCCAGCAAGAAACTAACCGCATGTGACTTAAATAGGCTAGGGGAGTGGCCAATTATCCTCAAGCCTTACTCTCGATGAGACCACCTCCTCCTGAGTAGCCACTCCTGCCTTTTGGCAGCCCTGCGTGCTCGAGCATTGAGAAGAGGCTCCTCCACTTCGTTCTCTCCACTTGAAGGAGCCTCTGGAGGTTCTGAAGGTCCTGGCTGAGTCTCTGCCTCTGGCACCACATCCTCTTCAGCTTCCTCGCTGTCCGACGCGAATGCTGGCTGCGCAGGCTGCTGGCGCGACACCACACCAGCCTCATCGTCGGGATCAGCCATGATCTGCGCAGGCCGCTGGCGGGCCACAACAAATATATGAAGCATCCTTCACAGTTAGTGTATAGCAAATACAATTTCAAGTTATAAATATAACTTTCATAAAGACTCAAGTGATTAAATAAAAAATCCATTCTATAATTTAGATTAGAAATAACTTTTTAAAGACTTTTATTCTTAAATAAAGAAAGCAAGGACATTTGGCAAATACAGAGGAGCTTTGATGTAGGATAGCAGCCTTTACTAGGAACATGACACACCACTGGCTTCCTCTTAAAGTAATGTGCCGTTATCAATAAACCATCTATTTATTTTGGGTCTTCAATCTGTATATAATGCTTACTGTTTATTATTGTTTCATTAACTTGGTTGTATGCAGCAATTATTTTTTAACTGATACTGATAAAAGCCAACATTAAATTAGCACAAACCTCAGGAGGGGATTTGTATGCTTACAGCTAAAAAGAAATGATTTACTGATTAGGTTGTATTCTACAATCTTGAAAAAACATCTCACTGGCCTTAAAATTAGTTGGAGGGTGATAGTCAACATTTATTTTCCCATCTGCTTTAGCCAGCAGGCTTTTAAGGAAAACACAATATCGGAAAGTCCGAGACCTGAGAAGTGGGGCTATAGATTGAGTGATTCTGTCTTATTCCTTCAAAGTAGCAAATGGAAAGTAATTAAACTGCCTGGTAGTGCTTGGAAAATAACATGTCAAATAGGGTATTCTAATAATAAGCCTTATACTACTGATAAGATAGAAACATGTATGTAAGCCCTATTTAACTTCGTAAAACATCAGGCCTGAAAGTTTTAATACTATTGGCTTTGTTCATATATTCAGATAATGTAGCTATGTTCCAACAACAAGCAACCACAAAATCACATTTTATCTTAGCTTTAGCATGCTGTGGGAAGCCAGCCATTATGGTTCAGCGTTGGGCCAAATGCCTTTATTAATCCTGATTACTGTCCGAATATAGAGACGTTTTACCCTAACACCTTCTCATAGTTAATTCCTTACAAGGAAGGCAAGGCCACTGTGTAGTTATGGGATTCAAACCGATATGAAGTTTGAAGAAGGCTGATCAAGTTTCCTAGGCTTTCTAACAACCCGCCAAAGTCATTGCCATCGGGAGGGGAAGATGGGTCCATAAGGCTTCCTTCTCCTAACCTTCCAGCCTGTGCTGAAACGTGAACTGAGGGCATACGGCCTTCCACCGAGTATTGTAGCGAATGCGGTTTATATTTCTGAAACTTCCCCACGGATACCTTTCAGCTTAGCCATTAAAAAAAAAAAAAGGGATACTGTTTCGCTTCTCCCCTTCCCACAATTCCAAGAAATCCCAGTCTAGGGCGATATTTCCCAAAGTAAAATTCCAAATGTGGAAGAGGAAAGAGAAAGAGAGATGGAGGAAGGGAGATGGTAGTTGGGTGTAAGGAATTCCGGTGCTTTTGGCAACGGCTCGAGCCCAGCTCTGCCGACTCCTGCGCCCTGAGAAGGGAGACGGGTTTCGCCGCTGCGGAGAGACGAGCATTGCTCGGGGGGCGGGAACGTGAGGCGGCGCGGCTCCTCCCCGCCTTGCTGCTGCTGCTGCTGCTGCTGCCGCCGGTGCGGCCGGGCGGTGCTTTCCCTCTTCGTCCGTCGCCTCACCATGGTTGCAACGGCACAAAGCCCAGGCGAACATTAGAGGCCGTTCCCGCAGTGAGCCTGCTGGCCCGACGCCGGCCCGCTTCTTTCTGCCCAGACACGGCACATCTTCCGAATTCCTGCCTCTTCGTCCTTTCCAGGCCCGAGCTCGACTAGGACGCGGCGGCCCTTCTCCCGCCCTGCCGCTTGAGGGGATGCGGCGGCGGAGCGGGGAGGAGGGCGACAGCGACACCACCACTGCTGGGCAGGCCGGCAGAGGCGGGGCCGGGAGTCGTCGTCGTCGTCGTCGCTGCCGCCGCCGCCAGCACCCACGACTCCTCTAGGCGAGGGGCCCCGACCGGAGGGCGGCGCTGTTGAGGCGGAGGGATCAGCCGCCGCAGCCGCCGCGGACGAACAGTAGCAGCTGGATTCCCTGGGGCCAGCTGGAGCCGCCTTTTACCTCAGCTGGCTTCCTTGCCACGTTTAGGGAGAGAAGTGGAGGAGAACTCGCTCGCCCGGTGCAGGCGCCGTCTGGCTTCCTGGGCAGGAAAAGGCGCTTGAACGTGGAAGAAGGGCGACGGGAGCGGGCCAGGACGCGGCGCCGGCCTGAAGTAGGAAAAGAAAAAGGGGGAGCGATATGGCGTCCTACGTGGATAATAACTTCCGCCAGGCGGTCATGAAAAACCCAGTCGACAGGAGCCCCCAGGTATTTCCGAATAGTACTTCCTTAAAAACACCTTTTCCCCCCTGCTTCTGAGAGCCCCCCCTCCTTCTCCCCCGCTGTCTCTTCCCTGGACAGTCGCGTTTGTACCTAACGTGTGTCCCCGTTTGAAGGAGACCCCCCTTCTCTTCCTCAGATGAATTCTTTCTCTGCAAGTTGGCCTATACGTTGAAATTTCTTTTCTTACTCTGCATCCCAGACGTTTCTTAAATCCATGCCCCCTAAAATCCTCTAATCTTTTATGGTGATGGTGGTGGTGGACATCTCCATCTTCCTTCGGCAAAACTTTACAACCAATTTTATTTTTCCTTGTTAGGGGGATTGAGTGCACCAGGTAAAGTATGCATGTTGAACAGGTTTGTTGTTTTCTGTAATTGGATTTGTAATTGAATTGTATCCCTTTTTAAAAAAAAAAAAAGTGTACATAGCATTCACAAATCACAGGAGCTCGGATGTTTTAAATGCTGCGTCCTATCTGTAAGTGGCTATATCAGTAAATACGTTTTCAGTAACTTTAATCCCTTTTCTACCTACAGAAAGAAAAGCTTATTGATTCACAGCAGCAGACTTCCCGTCCCCCATTTCCATTAACAGTGCAGCTCTTAGATACTTGCTTGAATTAAGACAAATGCTTAGTTTAGCCATTGGCCTTCATGTATTGCCAAAATTAATTTGAAAATTGTTGCTAGAGGCAGGCAATTTCATGAACACTTTTGGTAGGCAAATTGGGGATTGCTTGATAGTTTATTTACTTTACTAGATTACTAAACTTCTGTTGTGTATGTTTCTGGAGAATGTGTTTTTCTCCCAATAAGCAAGCAAAAATAGAGTTTTTAAAAAGATGTATTCATTCATTTGTTGTAAGTATTTCGATCCTTAGAAATCAAGTAATCGGATTACCAAGAAGAAATAATCAGTATTAACGTCTACATATTTTGTTCATTGCATTTTGTTGTGAGTTTTTTTGGGAAACAATTAGATTTTTTAAAAAAAAGGTACATAGTAAATATATTTTATTGCTTACTGTAGTTTAAGACTCACTTTATAACAGACAATTGTTAATTCCCTTTAAGTTTTCAATTTTTTTTTTTTTTTGTAATTCAAGAAAGTAAATTGCTAAAAAATGGAACAAAATTCATATGCAACAGGATAAGTATTATTTTTAAAAACACCTGTTTATTTCCGGCCTGCTTCTGTGGAATGTCAAGAGTTGGCTCGCTGTCATTGTTGGATTACTAGCTATTGGTAAACACAGTATCCAAACTGGAAGATGCTTACTCTTCTAACTGTGTGTAAAGTTTAGCAAATTATTTCTGATTCAGAATAATAGTTGAAAGTTTATTAGTGAAGTTTTAAAGCATGCATTAACTGTTTACTAGTCCTTCTATGAATCCTTGACTCAGTAGCTTATCTTCATGATATTTGTTGGCATCTGTGCCATTCTATCTGCTTCCTAAAGTGTTTCTGAATATCTTGATTTTACGAAAGGCACTGTTTAATTGCTATAGCAGCCAATGATTTTGAAGTTTATAACAGTGTTGCAATCTGCTAAAATCTTATCCAATTAATCTGAAACTTTGATATTGATAAGATTGTTTTTTTAAAGATTTTGCCCTGGTAAATATTAGTAGATCCAGGCATTGGAATTTTAATCATTTTGTTGAATATTTTTATTATTTATTCTTCATATACTAGATTAATCAGATCAGTTCACACAACACATAAACTC